CTTGGAAAAGTTTGACTTTCAGTTACTGATCTTATCTCTTTGTGGCAAGCTTAGAGAAATTGGTTAGTCTGTCTTAATATCCCTGTATCTATGCATAAAGAAATGAACTATTTTTTACCCTTATCATTTAAACAATTTGAGGTGAGTTCCTAATTTGTCATTTTAAGCCAAGGTTATTAAGGATGCAGACATTAGATAGAAGCATTATGTGGACACACTTGAATTTGGGTTATGAAGGTGCACAGAGAGCAGGCGCATAGCCTTAATGGATGACATTTATCTAGAGAAAGAGGTTGGGGACAGTGATTCTTAAAATGAGTGGTTTGGGTACAATTGAACATACAGAGATTCTTATTTGTCATGACTCTGCTTTCACTAGTGTCAGATTATTCCTGTATCACCTTTTAGGATATAGTACTGTAGGATTTACTCTTATCTTATATTCCTGTATCACCTTTTAGGATATAGTAGGATTTACTCTTATCTTCCATTTTCATTCATAGCTGTATGAAACCATCTGGAAATTTTAAAAGTAATATTGTGAATGGACATATATGTGACCCAGCTGCATTTTTATTTTCCTCAAGTTCAGGAAATGTGGGCTAAATAGGGTCAAACAGAAAACTGAACCAGCTGTTCATGGTTAGACACTGTGTTTTAGAAGCAATTGTGTAGCATGTTGTGGAAAGTCCTTGATAAGGTTTATAACTCTGGATACTGCAGTATCTAAATTTGCATATGGCTTTGCAGGTTGTAGTCACAGCACAGATAAGCTGGAATGCCAGCATTGCCCTCGGTAAAAAAACAAAAGTTTTTGTACAGATAGTTTGCTTTGTTCTCTTCAGGGCTTCTTCTGACTGTTGTATTTGACTAGTGACAGCTGATGCAGAATATGATAGCTGTAAAACAAGCATGTGGCAGTTGTCTCTGTGTTGCAGTAATGCTTGTCCACTGTGTTGAGGATATGCACTTCTTTTCAACTGTTAAAAAGAATGCTTTAAATAGTGAGCTCTTACAACAGAAAAAGAATGCTTAGAACTACAACATGTTTGGATACAGCAAATATGTTATAAAGCATTTTGTGCTATTTGCACCCCTTGTACTGTGTGTGCCTTAGTGGCATGCGTGATTGCTGGATAATGTAGTTGACTTGTATTGCTGCCAGTTGATGGTGCTATTGCCATTGTTTCCCATAGAAACACAACAAAACAGTACAAATATGGATAGGAGAGGAGTTGATTGCCAGGAATGAGTCACATTAACGTATAACTTTATGAAGAAATTTGGGCAAGGTCTGAGTAGTTGAGGCACTTTCACATCACTGATGCCAAGCATGGAATTTCAGTGAGAAAGAATGTTTAAGACAACTTTGGCCAGAAGATGACTTCAAGACTAGTTGACTTCCCATAGATGATTAAGGGTCCTAGGATGTTCAACATTTGCACTACAGGGAGAAAAATGAAGAATCACATAACAATAATTACAAAGTTGTGTAATCCCAGTTGCTTGTAGAGTTTCTAACCTGATTTCATTAAGTGCATGTAGGGGTTGACTAAAAGACAAAATTAAAAGACGCTTCTTGGGAGGAAAGCGATGAGAAACCTAGACAGCATCTTAAAAAGCAGAGACATCACCTTGCCGACAAAAGGTCTGCATAGTCAAAGCTATGGTTTTTCCAGTAGTGGTGTATGGAAGTGAGAGCTGGACCATAAAGAAGGCTGACCGCGAAAGAATTGATGCTTTTGTATTGTGGTGCTGGAGGAGACTCTTGAGAGTCCCCTGGACTGCAAGGAGATCAGACCTATCCGTTCTGAAGGAAATCAACCCTGAGTGCTCACTGGAAGGACAGATCCTGAAGCTGAGGCTCCAATACTTTTGCCATCTGATGAGAAGAGAAGACTCAGTGGAAAAGCCCCTGATGTTGGGAAAATGTGAAGGCAAGAGGAGAAGGGGGCGACAGAGGACGAGATAGTTGGACAGTGTCATTGAAGCTACCAATGAATTTGACCCAACTCCGGGAGGCAGTGGAAGACAGGAGGGCCTGGCGTGCTCTGGTCCATGGGGTCACAAAAAGTCGGACATGACTTAATGACTAAACAAAAGAGAAGATCACACTGATTAACTCCTGTCTGACACCCTGGTTGTTCGCCTATGGTCCCCTTCAGTATTCTGTTTTTTTCTGCATGCTATTTAACATATGAAATCACTGAGAGAGGTTATCTGGTGCACTGGCATCTAGACATAGGGACGAAGAAAAAAAACAGATCACAGTATGTGTTAAAAATCGCGAATTCATCAAATATTCGTCTCTTCGTATTTATAAATTCCACAGACCCTGAAGAATACGAAGGGATGAATATTGCCCCATTTTTATTAGACCCCATAGGAAGAGGGGGCTTTCCCACTCTGCCTATGGGGATCAGCAGGCCCATAGACAGCCAGACAACCGCACAGCCACCCAACCCCACAGCCTATCCCCCACCTCCTTTCCCTCCCTACCTTAGCCACTGTTGGCATTCACCACTGCCCATCCATCGCCACCCATTGCGGTAGCCTCCGCAGCCACAGCCTGCCATACGGGAAGCTGGCTGCCCTTTGCAAAGGGATGGACTCCCCCTGTCCAATTCCTGGCACTATTAAAATTCCAAAGCTCATAAAAGGGAGGTCTCCCCTTCATTTGTTCACCACATGGTGCATTACTGGGAGTTTCTGTGCATAGACCTATTTATGACCCCTCCCCCACTACAGTATGGCAGGCAGAGGCCATTCCTTCCTAGGAGATGCTTTTTCCCTTTACCAAGTTGAAGGATGTTTTATCCTTTTTCTCTCTTTCTCTGCTTGCCATGGTTCTAATGAACAGGTACAAGGACAGTGCCAGAGTGATCCTGATTATGCCTTGGTGACCATGACAGCCATGACTCATCACATTGTTGCTGGTATTGAAAAGGCCCATCAGCATGCCCTTCCCCAGTGCACTGAGAATTCTTGTTTAGAGAGAAGAAGGTGAAGCATTTGGAGCTGCACACTCAGGCTAACAGCTTGGAGGCAGTCTCCTTTCCCGTAGAATTTTCACATGATCTTTGAAGCCTCCAGCCATTAATCTACAGCGTTAAACCCTATGTATGAAAACTGGTGATCTTCTGAACTTTTGTTGAATCCATAAATGAGGCATTGGCCTGTTATTTAGTCTGTACTGTGCCTAATCTTTCTGTTTAGGTATAAGGCATTGTCATTTTAGCAGTTATTTTATTTGACCAACCTGACCGTAGGCCTGGAGACTTTTTGTTCTCTGTTTAAAAATTCCTAAGGAATACATACCGTAACCTGCACCCACCTTTTACTAGACCTGTGCCCCTCTGATATTTTGTTTGTTTGTTTGTTTCACTGCAGTGTACATAGACACCCTTTGATTTTTGGAGACTACTACTGACCTTTGCTCTTTCATGCTTTTGATGGCTTTTCTGGTGGTGGTAACTTTCTCACTTTTTATAAAAAGTGTTGTTAAGGGTAGTGTCACAGTTCGACTTGAATCAAAATAAAGCATTTTCATTTTTTTTCCTGACTCCTTTCACAGCATTGAAAGCATCTGTGGATGCAGTAGATGTAGGGAGGGCGTTGCCATTTTCTGTGAACTGTACAAAGACGGGTCTACTAGTCTCAGCCTACTAGTTCATGTAGTGGGTGGTAGCAGCTATCTTGCTGGCTCCCTGAAATGGCTTGCTTGCTGAAACCAGTGCCATCTTCAACAATGTTATTTGGGGATTCCATTAGCTAATGTCTGTTGGATTGTCACATGGTCAGAGCCTTCCATGTTTGTCACTCACTATAAACTGTATATGAGAACAAGGGCTGATACTTATTTTAGACTATCATGACTTTCTTCTATCCGGACATGATGTCCAGTTCTCTGGTAGGTGAACTGGCCAGTGACCCATATGTGTGAGTCATAGAGGCCATGAAAACAAAAGAACATTTTGCTTATCTGTAACTGGCTCTTTAGGTAGTTATCTGTGAACTCATACAACCCTTGCTCTCCTCTTGATATCTCACTCGCATGACTTTTTATTAATGCCAGACTCAGAACTGCAGCATACTTAAGCATGCACAGAGGGAGTGTTGGTGGGGGGCCATGTTGCCACCAAAAGCTGTTGAGCTTTGAAATGTTCTAAGTGTGTTTCTTTGCATGCACAAGACTCCTGTGCATGAGTTCAAGGATGTCCACTCAAATAAACACAGTTACAGGAAACCTTTTCTTCTTTTTCCCCAGGCTCTGTGACTTGATAAAACTATAAGACATCAATGAGGACCAAAATAATATTGATGTGTAGGGTAATGTCCAGTGTAGGATGTGGCGAATGTGAGAAACTGAATTTTACTTCAGTTAGTATTTAACTAGACTCTCCTTGTCTGAGGTTTCTAAAACTGACTAAATTTGTTGTCACCATTATACTTTTCCATTATATCTTTTGATAATTAATTACTTCAGAATTCCATCAATAGGTTTTGTACAGAAGAGGTGTAGCTACACTGGCATAGCAACTGATCCACTTATATATTTTTGAGCCCATCAAAACAATACAAAACATTAGTACGAAGCATTTAAGAACATTCACACAACCCCTAAATGTATTCTGTAGTATGTAAGATCCATATTGTATATTTATTTATTACACTTAGCCTTTTTGTTGTTAGGCAGCTTGCAATAAAAAAAATTGGACTAATTCTTGCAGTGGTTTGTCTTACTCACTCCTTTTCTGAGCTCAGTCACGAACACAGAAAGGATTGCACTAGTGCTTACATATGTGGTCTATATCCCAACTGGGAAATAGATGAAAGATTTCCTTGAAATTTGTTTAATGTGCATATGAATCATAAGTAGCTTTTTAATTTGGATCCCACAGCTCCATCAGTCTAGGAAAAAAACGTTATTCCAATACTACTGCAGGAAAATGTGAAAAATGAATCCTTCTCTTCTGTGCTGTTTCCCAATGTATCTGCAGCTCTTCGAGATGCCAGCAAACAATCTATTAATAGTGACTGGAAGATAGAACATTCTGGAACATTCAACATTGCGGGTACCACTGTCCATTATGTTAGGAGAGGTCTATGGGAGAAAATATCTGCCAAAGGTCCAACCACATCACCTTTACATTTATTGGTACGGTAGCATCAACAATCATTTAAAACTGTTTTAAATTATGAAGTTAAATAAATGTACTAAACAGTTCCTAATGCAATGGAACTGGATAATTCAGGGTCACACAATGACTTGTAAAATGTTGATTTCACAACTCCAGATACACTTGAACTTTAACAGTATTGAGTATCAAGACCTGGTATTATTGTCCACTTGTGGAACTACAGAACACTTTTTCACAAAACTCCCACTTCCAATGTTTTGCTTGTCATTTTTCTGGAGAGATTCTATGCAGATACATGACATATACAGTACATCCACTTAAATACAACTAGCTAGCCAACACCCCCAAATAATTTAAGAGCAGAGTTAAACTAGAGAACTAAGAAGACAAAAAATTAAATTTGATGACGGAAATGGTGTAAACTGTTGGCTAAAGTAGAATTAGCTTTCCCTGTAACCACACAATGCTCACTACTATTTTTATTGGAGTGTAACAAGAATTTAGTCATGAAGTAAGATTATGATTCAAATGTGTTTCTAAATGTATTTCTAAAAATAAAAGTTTAGTGGATATTTTAAATCCTTGGGCTGGAGGAGACGACACCTCTACTGTGTTCTTGCAGTCTAATGAGTACTGCAGATAATGTCTATGACTAAAGTTCCCCTGACATCTTTACTTATGCATATTTTTGTTACATTGCTATAGAGTGACTACTCCGTTTGAAGTGGCGGCTTAAATAAATACTTTTCTGCATTTCTATAGAAAATCTTACGGATCACTAAAATTAATTAGCGACATATCTCTGTATATCTCACTCAGTTTATCAAAGGATTAAGCATTATGCTTAAAGAAGTATAACAAAAATTTCCTTCGTGTGTTGATAAAAATCCATGTCAGCCTTCGGATTTTACCTGTGATGTTTTGAGTAGCTTCTTAGATGTATTTTGTGGGTGTCAAAACAGCAACTGACTACCACTGATCAGCGAGTGGATAGCACAAGCTATTTCTCCTCTGCACATATGAACAGATGCAGCTTCCTTAGACTGGTTAAGGCCACATTTTCATCTGATATGGTTGAGTGCTGCTGACAACAGCTGCCAGGTCATCAGAAATGGGATCCCTTAGCTCTGCAACCTGAAATTCTTTCAGCTGGTGGAGGTTGAAATTAGGGCTTTAAACGTGCTGAGTATCTGTACTACCACAGAGGGGTACTGCCTTTCTGCACAAGTATACTTCATTTTTTGTAATTGTGTGATAGCTAGCCCCCCTGTATTTTCTTATATTTTTTATGTTGCAGGTCCTGCTTTTCCAAGATCAGAATTATGGACTACACTATGAATATACTATTCCTTTGGATCCTGTCCCTGAGAATCAGAGCTCCAAAATATCTGATCCACTTTTTATGTGGACACACTCAGGTTGGGAAGATTGTGATGCTGTGTGTGGAGGAGGTAACCGTGTTTTATAATCTGTCATAAATAAATATATGTTGTGTTAATATTTGGTGTTTGTTGCTTTCACTGATATGTTACTGCTATCTCTTATCACCACTTTGACACTATTGTTGTAAAAAAAACTTCATTTCTTCCCAGATTTAAATAAAATTATTAATTATAATCATAATCAAAGATTGTGATAATGATTAGACCTTTAAAGCAGGGAAATTTTTGCTAAAGTAGACATTTGTCTTTTTTCAGAACTGTTAGGCATTATATATTTATTTTCTGACACTTTTTTCATGCCTTTACACTGAGGAATAGCAGTCCTTAGGATGTTTTATGGTGACTTACGTTTTTGGAAGCAATTTCAAAGCAAGTTACCTCACAACCCAAAATTTTAGCTGAGATCTAGTTTGTCTGAAGCATGCATCAAGTTTTGTAGAGACTTGCTCATATTTTTCTATGACAGGTAATATTTTTGTGCAAATGGAATGCATGTGCAGATTGTTCATCTTCACAGATGACCATAGGAAATATTATATACATGGACTTTAAATTAAACTAAAATCAGATCCACTGAATTTCAGGGTTGTATACTGTCCAAACCTAAATGATTAGGTCTGATATATTAGGTCTGATATATTAGCTGTCTGAGTGTGTCTATAGTAGCATCCTGAAATGCTGCAGCAGAAGGAACTTTTGTTGAGTCATGCTGTTTGTATATTATAATTTCTCATAACTTTCCTCATGTGCATTGGGAGGAGGGGCATTTTCAACATTAGTAGCTTCAGTGTTGCTTTTCTTGCTGGGTGCCATTTTTTCTTAAAATGTCTCTGAGGCTGCATTCTCTGGAGAATTATCGGTGTGACAGTCACTAGCAATCACTTATAAGAGTATGCGGTTGGCAAGGGAAGTTTTGTTTCCTACATTGGCATTTCCTCCAAATAGCTGGATCCCTTCCTTATAACTTCCTGCAAGTGTGATATAGAAAAGTGCCATTGAACTTGGCCTAAGAATGTTGAATCTGTTTATGTATAGCACATGATGTTTTTCTTCTGCCTGGAGCTACTCCAAGGAATGAGTTTGTCTACACTGCTCGTCATATACAAGTCAATGTGGTGTAGTGGTTAGTTAGAGTGTTGGATTAGGGAAACCTAGGAGACCTTGGTTTAAATCCCCATTTACTATCTGTGCAGCTCAAAAGGTGACCTTGGGGCAGTTAGTCATACTCTCTCTGACTAACCCACTTCACAATGATATTTATAGGAGATCCATTTACTTTACCTTGAATTCAGTGGGGATATGTAAGATATAAATATAACAAATGGCCAAATTCCAGTTGCAAAAGATTTAACTTTTGGAAGTGATTTGGCTTTACTTAAGAAGTTTCCTTTGTGTGGCTTGGTTTGATAAGGTCTATGGAGATTTTTTAACTTGAGGCATTTAGCTCCCCTCCCAAAGTTACATCTTTTGCGTAACTAAGCAAGAGGATTTTAGTAAATAAATGTTATCCCAATGGTTTGCAATTGTTGAGATTTGGAAATAATTGTAATGTTCTCTAGTTTTTGTATAATTACTACAACTAACCTAAATTTTTACCAGAATAATGCAACACCTGGTGTTAATTTTAGTACACTATCTTTTTTGAACAGATTCCCTTCACGCATGCAGTTGAGCAAAGGGGTGGGCACGAGGGTGTGCAGCGCTTCTGCACATGCGCAAAGGGGTGGTGGAGTGCTCATGTCGGTGCTGGCGCGCACATCCCCCCCCCCACTTTGCGCATGCGCCTGAGAGTGCCCGCACGAGCACAGGGGGGTGCCCCATTCTTCATCAGAGGCTCAGCTAGTCCGTGGTCCCAAAAAAGTTGGGGACTGCTGATATATATGATTAAATAGAGAGAAGAGACTAATAAATCATGTTGCTTTTCTTTACATTCTAAATCAAAATTTATTTTTAATGTTTTTTTTTTTTTTGTATGGGAATTGTAGGCTCTGTTTTTCTAAGCCCATTCTATAATTCAGGTTTCTTTTTTAACAACAATAAAAATAAATAGGGTATCCTAAAAGTAAGTGTGTGAATCTGAGTTTTCCATTAGTCTTGTTTTCTTTATACTTGGTTTTCTTCCTTTAATGCTAAATAGTAGTGATGGGAAGTAGTGATGGGATTCCAAGACCTGCAAACTAGTCCCCTGTGCTCACTTGGGCTTGTTCTTATTAAAAGAAAGCCCCCTGCCAGTTGTGTGGCCAGTTTCTTTTGAACCCAAGGGTCTTCCACAGGCAGCTTATGATATGGCAAGGGAGTTGACTGTTCAAAGGAAGAAGAGCCTGACCATACACGAAGTTGGTTTTTTTGGCACCTAGTCACTGTTTTATTGAAAACTGTTTTAGTGAAAACAGTTGCCTGAGAAAATCTTTTTTCTAAATCAGAAATTTTCCTTAGTTCAACAAACTTCTTTTTTATGTTTTATTAGGAGAAAGAAAGACAACAGTCTCCTGCACGAAAATTATGAATAAGAATATCAGTTTTGTGGACAACAAGAAATGCAAATATTTAACAAAACCTGAGCCACAAGTCCGGAAATGCAATGAGCAGCCCTGCCAAACAAGGTGATAATGAGTCACAGAATGAAGATTCCAACAGATCACCACATGAAGAGCAAATTACTTATCCCAGTGTACCCCCAGATGGAACAACAGGGTGCTTTAAAGGCATTTGAAACCATACAGAGGTCTCTGGGATATCCTTTATTTTAGCACTGAAAGATGACACCAGGCACCACCACTTTAAAAACTGTGGAATGATGTGGTGTTCAGTTAGAAAAAAAAATCAGCAACCCCCCCCCCATGTTGTATGTGAGCCTCTAATTGGCCATTAATGCTATCTGTTATCTGCTACTGTCATTTACAGAAATTCCCTCCACTCTCCTTAAGCACAGTAACTATAAATTGTGTTTTACATACTTTTAAACTGAAGTCACCATCAGAGGTGATGCTTATGTTTGTGTTTGAGATATATTGCTTTTTGGCAGCATACCAGAAAGAAAAGCTAGTTAGCACTACTTCAAATATGTGTTCATGAAACCAAACAAATTAGTACTCAGTTGAGGTCATGCTGGCCCGTGAAGGCAATTTTTTTGGTTCCCAGACATCTCTGACAACTTGGCTATATACATATAGTGGTCTGCAGACACACAGGGAGGCACCTTTTCTTGTCTTTTTGCTCCTTTATTTCCAAGGAACTAAAATCTGGTACCATACTGAAAAAAATAATCCTCTAGCTTCACTAGCTTCACTTATATAAAGACTGACATTTTTGTATTCTCGAAGGCTTTCACGACTGGGATCCGATGGTTGTTGTAGGTTTTTCAGGCTGTTTGGCTGTGTTCTGGAGGTTTTTCTTCCTAACGTTTTGTCAGTCATTTTTCGTCTTTATGACACACCAAGAATTTATTCAGGGTGAGAGACAGAAATGAGTTCTAGTAAGCTTTTATATTTTAAAAAATGAGCAGCAACCACTACAAGCCAGATGTTAGGTGCCATTGAACATAATGATGAATTATGAAGAACTGGAAGCTTGCATGCTTCTATGTGTTCTTTTTGGAGGGGTTTGTACTGTCTGCTAAAATACACATTGATAATATATAGTGGTGCCTCGACTTATGAACTTAACTTGTTCCAGAAGGTGGGCGTAAGTCGAAATGGTTGTAAGTTGAAGCACCATTTGCCATTGAAATGCAATTAATCCGTTCCAGCCAAAGAAAAAAAATCACCAAAAAAATCACTGCAAGACCCATCGGAAATGTGATTAATCCCTTCCGGCCAAAGTGGGGGGGAGAGAAAGAAAGCAGACCATGCAAGACAGATGGACATGGGGGAAAAGCAATGCAAAAAGCAAACGAAGCATGCAAGACAAATCGGAAATGGGGAAAGAGCAATGCAAAAAGCAGGCGAAGCATGCAAGACAAATCGGAAATGGGGAAAGAGCAATGTAAAAAGCAAGCGAAGCATGCAAGACAGATCAGAAATGGGGAAAAAGCAAAGCACCAACAAACAAACAAATCCCCAAAGACCAATCGGAAATGGGGGGGGAACACTCCAAAAGGCAACCAAACCCCCCAAGACCCATCGGAAATGGGGTGGAACAAAAAAACAAACAAACCCCCCAAGACCCAACACAGGAACATAACCCCCTAGCCCAAAACCATGCTGCAAAAACACCCAGAACAGTTTTTTAAAGCAGAAAACAGCACCTTACCTTACCAGGCAGCCTTCTCCAATCACACACTCTCTGACTGCTGGGGCGAAAGAGCTACAAAGAAGCAGCCTCATCGCCACCAACATTTAGAATTTGAATTTCCCACCTTTTTCCCTGCCTTTTTCTGTTCATAAGTGGAAGCTCCAGCCTCAAGTCAAAGCAAAATTTTGCAGCTGGAGCTGGTCATAACTCGAAATGGTCGTAAGTAGGGACGTTTGTAAGTCATCACTGTAATCTGGTATACTTCTACTCAGAAGGAAGTACCATTGATTTCAATGGGAGCTGTTGCTAAATAGGTGGTATAGTATTGTAGTCTTAAGTTTAAATTCAAGATTGTTCTAGTGAAATCTACAACAGGACTTTCTTACTTTTTCCTCTTGCTGCCCTCCCCACCATCAGAAGTTTGCTCCAGATTTTCAGTGTTAACTTCAAAAGTGAGGACATGAATAAATGCCTTTTCAGACCTATATGAAATCAGAATCCTTTTGCTTCTAATCAACAAATATAATTTTGGTTCTTGTGGGTTTTTCAGGCTCTTTGACTGTGTTCTGAAGATTGGTTTTCGTAAGGTTTCGCCAGTCTATGGGTCCAGCATGTTCAGAGAACAGGAGTGGCAGTGGTCTTATAGACAAGATGGGTGGAGTACAAATCAAATAAATAAATAAATAGCACTTTGTGCTCAATAAATACATAAATAAATAAATAGCACTCTGTGCTCTGGTGCAGTTTGTTTGGGAGTTGAGTATTTATAGCTGTTGGATCAGCTTTTGTCCTTTTCAGGAGATGGGTGATTATGGTGATCAGTGTGTTTTTGTTGTGGGTGTATTGTTGTGATAAGGAGAGATTATCTGTCACTGTGATTGGTGGGTGCCGTTAGCTGGTCTTTTTTGTGTAGTGATCACCGGTCCTTGTGGCTGGGTAGAGTTCGTTGACCTTTTGTAGGCTGTATTTTTCAGTGCTGGGAGCCAAGCTTTGTTGAGTTCTAAACTTTCTTCTTTTTTGTTGAAGCTCTGCTGGTGTTTGTTGATTTCAGTGGCTTCCCTGTGCAGTCTAATGTAATGATTGCTGCTGTTGTCCAGTATTTCAGTATTTTGAAATAGAATTTCATGTCCAGCTTGTTTTAGGGTATGTTCAGCTACTGCCAATTTTTCCGGTTGTTTTAGTCTGCAGTGTCTCTCATGTTCTTTGATTCTGGTGTGGATGCTTCTTTTTGTGGTTCCAATATATACCTGGCCACAACCGCAAAGTATCCAGTATACTCCTGAAGTGGTGAGGGGGTCCCTTCTGTCCTTTGCTGACCATAACATTTGTTGTATTTTTTTGTGGTGGGCTTGAATACTATTTGTAGGTTGTGTTTTTTCAAGTTTTCCAGTGCGGTCCGTGACCCCTTTGATGTATGGCAGAAATACTTTATTTGTGGGTGGCTATTTTACTTCTTTAGTTTGGTGTTGTTTCCTTGGTTTGATGGCTCTTGTGGTTTCATTTTTGGAGTAGCCATTTGCCTGTAGGACCCAATTCAGATGGTTGATGTGAGGGTTCAATAGTTTGCTCCGACTCTTTTTCAAAGAATGCACCCACTCTTCTTGGTTTATTGGGGTATTTAATAACAGTCCAGTGTCAACCAAAACATTCCAAACATTCTCCCCCTTTGACAACAGGTCTGAAGGGGGGTTCCAGTTGTCAACTTTGAAAGGGTTCTTACCCTGGCTATTCCAGAGTCCGGGCCACTCCAGTGGGGTATCAGAGTTCAGTAATAATCCCTCCTTTCCTTCCGGTAGGGGAATAGTGCCTTCTTCTCAAATGTCCACCCAGCCATACTCTTTGGGGGGTTCCCCTGTCTCCCACGGGACTCCAGGAACTCTCTCTGTTGGTTCTCCCAAATTCTCCAGTCTAACCTTTCCCTTTGTTCTCTTTCCACTCTCTCTCTTTCCTCTCTCAACTTCCTCATCCACTCCTTAGTCTCTTGTTCACCCCAGTATGATGGCTTGGGGTTTAACTCATGCCTCCTCCGAGCATCCGCTTCCTCCTTGGGGACACACAGTTTCTCTGTCCTCCCTGTCCATGGATCTTCCACCCAAATCAATTCCCAGCCTATTGGTAACTCTCCTTCCCCCCTTTTTATATCCCCTAACCCTGCCTCCACTATTTCCCGACTTTTTTCTCCCGCGCCCGCCAAGATAGTCCTGGATTCTGTGATCATGAGTCTTTTCAAATCTCCCTTCAAATTCCCCAGGTCCTGTCCAGGAGGTCTCGTCTTCCGGGGTGGGGGAACTGGTGGGATCTGTCTCTTTCTCAGCAGTCAGCGAGAGGGACAGCACTCCCAAGAGAGGGGTCTCCCTTCCTCCCTCCTTCTTACAGTTGAGTTCAGTGATGAGAAATTGAGCTTCACAGTTCCGATTTTCATGGTCTACCAGTGTTTTGATTATGCCTCTTTTTTGCTGTGGTGCTGGTTGGAGTTTTTGAGTAGGTACCGGTCTGTGTGGGTGGGTGTCGCGTCCACCCAATGTCCTTTGTTTATTTTCACTAAACCCAAGTCCATCCTCTGGATGTGTTTCCTCACTTCACGCTGCCACCAGGTATTATTCACTCAATACCAAATATATATCTTAGACACGTGCTGCCAATACAACAGATTTATTGATAGTATAGATGCCATGCAAATCACAGGAGAAAATCACAGATATGTAGAATTATTCATTAAATATAATTTGCTTTCACATTGGTTTGTATATGTATTTATTCACTGTTGCAATATTCTCTGATTATCTATTAAACCTCTATACTCTTTCCTATTCTCTCTAGCATTCCAACTTTCCAATCTCTGTCTTAACTTTCTCAATTCAATCTCCTAACTCTCTCTCTTCAATTCCCTATCTCCAACCTCTTTTCTCCAGCTCTCCTCTCGAACTGGCTAACTGTCTATCCCTTTTGGTTCTGCCCCTCCTGTCCTCTCATAGGCTCCTGCCGTTCAGCTCACCATGATGGACAGGTGTGACATGGGGGTTCCGCCACATACCTCCCCCTTGGAAAATTTGTTCCATGGGGTAAAACGTACAGTGGTTTACCCTCATGAACAACGTAGGACTTACTTAACCATTTTCAAACCATTTTTTTCATACATTTCTTAGTTATACATTTTAAATCACATTTACTTTTACTCTTTTACCTAGTCTATGCATGCATGTTATTGTTAATTGTGACATAACACATATTAATCTTGTCATTTTACACATTAAAATTGCATTAATCAACATTTGCATTTCTTATCATTTCTTTACTACTATACTGTTACAGTACTTTTATCTCTACTTACTCTACAAACTCCCTAACAAACTGCACCAGAGCACAGAGTGCTACTCCTGTCCTCTGAAGATGCCGGCCACAGAGAATGGCGAAACGTTAGGAAGAACAACCTTCAGAACACGGGCGAAGAGCCCGCAAAACCCACAACAACCATTAAATCCCGGCCGTGAAAGCCTTCGCGAATACATTAAATATAATTCTATTTAAAACCAAGCAGTATCAATGAATTGTAGGGGGAAAAATGTAGCTTAACAGCTATGATTTTATTTTCTCAAATGTAAGGATGACCATGTGAATTAAAATGTATTTTAAACAAACAAACAAAATTGAACTGCACTGGCAAATACTTTGAGGAATAATCCTACATTTCCGAAAAGATAATAAGACTTGGATTATCCATAATTATCTGTCACACAATTCATTCCAGGAGTTGGGGGCTATCTTCCCATTTTCTAGTTATAAAGTACTCAGATGTGGTTTATGAGTCCCCTCCTTCTGGTGGTGCTCTGGGACCGTGCAGGTTGTCCAGGGCTGCACAGGTGGCACAATATATAGAACTAACCATGTCCGGACCCTTTCCCAGGAGGCACTGTTAGAGTTGACATTCCCAGGCCATTGCTTTGCAGCTAGTTGCTCCACCTAGCTGAGCTATACCAGCTCATAAGATCTTTGACTAGACTTTTAAAAGATATCTTTTATGTAGGTGGATGATGACAGAATGGACTCCCTGCTCAAGGACGTGCGGGAAAGGGACCCAGAATAGGCAGGTGGCCTGTACTCAGCAACTCAGAAATGGAACCTTGATCAGAGCCCGTGAAAGAGACTGTGCTGGTCCCAAACCTACTTCAGCACAGCGCTGTGAAGGCCAGGACTGCATGACAGTATGGGAGGCAGGAGTGTGGTCTGAGGTGCAGTATATGCTTTTTGCATTTCTCTTTAATTTGTTTGCTAAATTTATTTGGTCAAAATTGCTGTGGGAGATGAATGAGAAGAAAAATACTTGAAACATTTCTCAACCTGCTTTCATCCAGCAGAGGTATACAAGAGGGCTATGTAGAATAGATCTAAAAATGGTTTAAACAAAATACAGCAGTAAAATCCTAACTCAAGGATATGTTGGTTGCACCAGGTTAACATTAGATACATGGATGAGGGGTTTGCCAGCAGAATAGCCAGGAAAGGGTCAGAGAAAGAACAGAGTAGGAGCTGAGTTATGCTACACCCAGATCTCCTGCAGCCCAGGGACACGGCCATAATGCCAGGACAAAGCAAGCCAGGATGAACGTAGACCAACATTGTTAGGCTGGGAGGGGTTTGAATCTGGCAAAGTGTCACCTCGCCTGGTGCTTTGCCATCTTGGCCAATTAGGAATGTTAGCTAGATATTATAAAAATGGCAAGCCAGACCAGACAAGAAAACATAATTCTTTGAATCATCAGAGCTGATAGACAATTCTTAATCTAATGTTGGAAGGGTTGTAAAGTCAATGCTAGCTGTATCTCTTCAAGGTGAGCCTTCCAGAGCTGATGTACAAAAAACCACAGAAAAGGCTTCTCCTTCTTTTATGTCCTGATGATCAAATCCTGGCTCACATCTACTTTGTCCATCCCTTTAATGTGAATTGACATGACAAACCAGGAAGCTGCAGCTAACCAGTTTCCCATATCTCAGCTGGGACATGTGTTTAATGACTTCCAAACAGTCTGTGATTTGAAAACCAACGCAAACCATATTGTAGCTTGTTAGAAAACTGTCAAACACAGGATGTTAAAATTAACCATGGTTAATTGACAGTCCTGGTTTAAAGGAGATTCCCCACCCATGCAGAGAAAGGAGCAACAGAAGAGTAGAGGGACCGTATACAGATGCAGGAACCTTATGTTGTTTCTGTTTTATTTAATCATCTGAGCCAATCCGGTTCTCATATCTGTGGCTTGTCTTCAAATATCAGCTAGTAAATTGAGGAATTTTGTATACAGTGGTACCTCGACTTACGAACTTAATCCGTATTCATTGAACTTGTTATCCTTTATGTTGTAAGCCGCCTAGAGTGGTCGAAATGACTAGATAGGCAGGGTATAAATACAATAAATAAATAAAAATAAAACAAAAACGTCAAAAAGTTCATAAGTCGAGGCAAACTTTTCCATAGGAATGCATTGAAAACAATTTAATCCGTTTCTGCTGGTTTTCGTTTGTATGTCGAGGTGCTGTTCATAGGTAGAGGCATTAATTCCCATAGGAACTAATGCAAAGCCGGTTAATCTGTACTCTACCACTAGGGGGTGATTTTTAAAAATTTTTTACTTCTTTTGACCTAAGGTAAACTTAGGTCAAAAAAGGGCAGGAATAATTTTTTTTGTTTATAAGTCGAGGCTCTGTTTGCAGGTCGAAGCAACTTTTTGCGAGCAGAGCCATTCATAACTCAAATTGTTTGCAAGTAGGGACGTTCATAAGTCGAGGTACCACTGTATAAGGATGAGATAAAGCTATACAGTACCTATGATCCCATTATGCAAAATGGCCTATATATGTGCCAGTTACAAATCTTTATTTCCCATGTACATGTGATGTGCTAGTAGTGACAAAGATCACTAATATCAGCCTTCAAGCAGACCAGCCTCTGATTTGATGAGGCTGCTTGGCCCCAAAGGTGTCTCGAGTGCCCACTATAAACAAGTCTAGGTTTGTTGGATTCAAGGGCTTGTAAATGTTAAATGCAGGAATCTTGCATTCTTTCTGCTTTGTTAAGTCATGATTTGCTTATCTGACTTATCTACCATTTCAGAAATAAGAACAGTGTGAAGCAAACTGCTTTCTGCTGCATTGTTTATTTATTTTATTTATTCAAAAAAGAAAAGAAAAAAATTGTTTCCTGTATAGAATATCATTATATGTACTACTTGTTTCATTTTAAACGTGTTGCTGCAGTGTTCAGTAAAATGTGGAAAAGGCATACGACATCGGACTGTAAGATGCACCAATCCTCGGAAGAAGTGTGTTTTGTCTACACGACCCAGAGAAGCAGAAGACTGCGAAGATTATTCCAAGTGCTATGTCTGGAGAATGGGAGATTGGTCTAAGGTATCATATGCTTTAAAATTTATACGAACTAGACATGGGGAACGAATAAAAAAACAGATCATGATACTCGTCTAAAATCACTGATTCATTATTATTTGTCCCTTCATATTTGTGGGATCCCGAGATCCCTACAAATGCAAAGGGACGAATATTTCCCCATTTTTATTCATTCCCCATACGAAGAAGAAAAAAACCATCCTATGGCTTTTCAATTCTGCCTACCGGCCCGCTGATCAGCAGGCCTATAGGCAACCACCCACCCACCCCTTTCTCTCCCTACGTTAGCCCCACCCCTGCCAACACCATCTTACTGTAGTTATAACCACTGCCCTTTTCAAAGATGGCAGCTGCAGCTTTCCTAACCCAAATGAAGCCACAGCCGCCATATTTGAAAAGGGCAGCCTTTTCCCTTTCTACAGGCTGTGGCTGTGGAGGCCTGATGGAGACCTCGGCAGTGGCGGTGACAATTACAGTAAGGGGTATCGGCCGGGTGGTGGAGGGGGCAGTGGTGTGTGTGTGTTTTCTTAGTAACCCCCCACAAATCAATGAATAAATTTGTTATTCATTGGTTCATGGGGCAACTTCATGCTTCATGAGTCGTCAACTTTGACGACTCACGAAGCAGGATGACTCGGCAAAATGGTGAGACGTCCCCATCTCTAATACCAACATTTGAATTTTTCAGTAGCCATTGCAATATATTACATAATGACTCTTCTGTGGAGGACAAGGCTAGAGCAAACTAAACAGAAGAATGGGATAAAGATGCTAGCTGTATCTGTATTAGGAGGTAAAGCTAAGAGCATACTACAGTGTAGTAGTATTATGCCAGAATTTAAACAGTTGTGTGTGTGTTTGATTATTTGTTCAGCTTTAAACCTGATTTTCTGTGCTGAATGATCACCAAAAAATGCCAAAACATGCTTTTTAAAATCATTTATAAATCAAATGAATGAATGAGTGAATGAATAGAATGTAGCAGAGCTGATACAAGCGCTGCACAAGAGATTCACACGTGCATTGCCCTACAGACTGTGCTAATCTTTTCACTACTGGAGTGAGAATGAGGCTGGAGTGATCCAGGTGAATGGCTCAACCGGTCTGTTGGCATGGGAGGTATAACACTATTTGATCTGCATACTTATGATCCACTTCCTCTAATATTGGTAGTGTCCGGTAGTTGCTGTGTTTGCACACAACATGCCCTACCAGGTTGTAGATGCTTTGTTTTCTTTACTAGAAGCTTTTCCATGACCTCCCTAGCTTAACATTCACCTAAATGTTTTCTCTCTGGGGTTTTTGGAGGTCTGCTGCTCTCTGACTGGCATGTTTCTCTATGAAAGTTTGTCTAAGATGGAAGTGTTTAAGAGGTATTTTGGTTCATCTGTATACATGTGTGCAATGTCCTTGTACAAAGCACCATTTCCTTCTGGTAGCTGAGGGATGAGCTGTGATATGTTAGAGCAATCCATCTGGCTGGAATACAAGCATTATACGCCTGTATTACATGCCCTATGTTACACTTGGAATGTTCCTGGGAGAGAGGTTTTATACAAATGGGGTATTTATGGTTGGTGCTTTTGTGTATGGGTATGTGGTTATTTATGACCTTTTGATTTTGTTATGCCTTGCCTTGGGCTTCCAGTCTTTTTTCTCCATAACTACAGGTCAGGCATGCAACGCATAATGCTATGGCAATTTCTTCACATATGGCAGTTTGAATCTAAATGTTATGTTGTTTGCATAACTGTGCAACAGGATATCAGTCATTGTCATGTGTCTGCAGTTAGGCAAGGATTTTAGAAGCCTGGATGTTTGCCCACAGCTGACTGTGTGTTGTACAGCACAGTTAGTGAAGCCTTCCTTCTCCCTTGCATCCACCATTTTTGCTCTTAGGAACTGTTCTTGACATCAGTAAAAGGGTGTTTCTTTGAGAAAAGCCCAGCACTTAGCTCAAGAAATGTAAATGTCATTTTTCAAGCATTGAAACAACAGGGTTAATGTGATCCTGCTTGGGGTTTTGTTCATTATAATCTTCTGAAACATCTTATTGTACCTGCATTAGAAGATTAATAAAATATATGACTATATAAATAACTGTAACAAAATGGAGATAACATTTTTTAATTTTCAGAAGAAACGTAATAGAAGTTTTTCCATTGTTTATTGTTCAATAAAAATGAACAGGAACCAATAAAGGGGGCACTAAAAAGAATCTCTAGTTCTTTTTTATTATTATTTTTAACATAAAGGAAAGTAACAATTAACAAAACTAAATTAAAATACAAATTCAGTGGTGACTGCACACAATACACATTAAACATTTCCCACCTATGCCACCGTAATCCTTGGGACTAGGTGATCAATAACATCAATTTATATCACATTTCACCCCATTCCTCTCCAAAAATACATTGATTCTTCTGCTGGCATATAGCCTTTCCCCTTTGAAAAGACATATTCCAAGTACAGTGGTGCCTCGCTTAACGATGTTAATTGGTTCCCAAAAAAAATCACTATGGGAAAACATCACTAAGTGAAACACCATTTCCCATAGGAATGCATTGAAAACCCATTAATGCGTTCCAATGGGAACGGATTACCGTCCTTAAGCGAAAATCGCCATAGGAAACATCGCTAAGCGAAACAGTGTTTCCCCCATTGGAATGCATTGAAGCCTATTCAATGCATTCCAATGGTTTTGCGATGTCCATTTTTGCTATTTTTAAAGTGTCAAACCGACAGTTCAATGCATTTCAATGGAGGGGAAAGAAATTCACCAGAAATTAACGAAGAGTCAGAACAAAGCCAAATTAAGTTTGCAAAGGTTTTACAAGGTGCACTAACTATTCCAAGCATTTAAAACAGTTTTTGAACATTTTAAGACACTTTAAAAATAGCGAAAACAGAACCTTGCTAAGCGAAACAGAGGACCTAAACTCTCATCACTAAGCGAGGCAAGGTCCCGAACATCGCTATGCGAAATTTCCCCATAGGGAACATCGCTAAACGGAGCGCAAAATTGCTCCAAAAACCTCATCGCTAAGCGAATACATCGTTAAACGAGGCAATCGCTAAGCGAGGCACCACTGTATAAATTCCATACATCTTTGAAATCATTAGACTTTACCATTCCTCTTGTTATTTTAATTTCACATGTTCACTTATCGTTAATTGCTAAGCTCCACATTTATTTATACCAATCTTCAGGATTAATTTATTTGTCACTTTTCCAATTCTTTCTTTAATTTGTTTGTCACTTTTCCAATTCTTTCCAAATGTTAATCTTGCTACTCTAACCATTATAACAACTAACTCTTTCTGATCTTTTTGCAAGGAGTCATTCTCAATTATGTTCTGGAGGGCAATAATTAGTGGTATCTGAATATTGCATCTAGAGATGGGGACGACCCACCATTTTGGCGAGTCGTCTCGCTTCGTGAGTTGTCAAAAGTTGACAACTCATGAAGCACAAAGTTGCCCCTGTGAAGCAACGAATAACAAATATATTCCACTGCCACCCCCTGCTGTCTTGCCGCCACTGCCCCACCCCGCTGACACCCCCTTACTGTAATTGCCGCCGCTGCCATTTGCAAAGATGACAACTGCAGCATCCCTACCCTAAATGAAGCCGCAGCCACAATCTTTGAAAAGGGCAGCCAGTTTCCCCTTTTACATGCTTGATAGAGACCTTGGCAGCAGCGGCGACAATTATGGTAAGGGGGTGTTGGCAGGGGTGGGGGACTAAGGTAAAGAGAGGAAGGGGTGGGGTAGGCTGTAGGGGTGGGGCTGGGTGGCTGTCTATTAGCCCACCAATCAGCTGATTGGCAGTCAGTAGGCAGAATGGTGGGTTTTTTATTATTACGAAGGGGCAAATAAAATGGGGAAATATTCATCCCTTTGTATTCGTGGGGGTCTCTGAAACCTACGAATATGAAGGGATGAATATTTAACAGATCAGTGATTTTCCACGAATATCGTGATTCATTTTTTGTTCGTCCCCATGTCTAAATAATTTTCTAATTTCTTTAAAAATCAGTGCCCATTCTTTCTTTCTTATTTCACACGCCCACCACATATGCATATAAGAATCTCTAGTTCTTTAAGGGGAGTGACGTAAAATTGTCAATTTTGCCAAAAGTTTACATTATATTTGATGGTCTTTAATATTTTCTATTGAAAATATTTTCTATTAAAAAACAAAATGGCTCTAAATGGTTAGTACTGAGATCTAGCATCAAACCCTGTTCTGTGCCTGTCATCATGATTGCACTGGGGGATGTCCAAGAAGGCAAAACATTTAGCTATTGCTCTGGTTTAGCATTCGTTACATCAAAGGAACCTCTGTGGGGTACCATTTACATGCAGTTTGGTATACAAATTAGATCTACTTAAGCAAAAGAAGTTTAAATGTAGAAAGAGCTGGAAGGAGCTCAGAGTTGGGGGGGGGTTAGTTGATTTATGAGAACAAGTATTTGAGGTTTTTTTAGAATATAAATCTAAACTGAGTAGAAAACACAGGCACCATCATGAAGCGTATTATTTTGTAAAGAGGCTGTTTGAGAGTCTGGAAGTGAACAAGCTGGGGGCATAAGCATCTTGTATCTTTGCGGTCCCTGCTCCTTGTGTTGTAACTTCTGTTGTAATTTCCAGTAATGGATGCTGTTATGTCTGTTCATATATAGAGGCAGATTTAAAACATCTGCATATCAATTCACATTATGAAATTCACAATATCAGGCAGAAAGAGGTTCAAAAAAGGAGTGGATGCAGTAGGATAGGTAATAGAACTCAGGAGACTAAGGGAGCGCTGTGCCATTGCTGCTGCACAAAATTTTGCTGCAGAGCATGTAATAAGGGAGTCTTGATCGGAAAGAAGTAGCCTGATGTAAAATTCATTGGGTCTCCCTGGATATCTGAGAATGATTGGGCTCAAGAGGTTAGCGCATAGATCTCTATTAAAAAGACAGTACAGTAAGACATGACCTACAGTTTTCACT